AAATGTATTGTATAATGTGTAGTCTGGTAAATGCATTGTATAATGTGTAGTCTGGAAAATGCTAGAATGACGAAAATAAATATTTAAGGAAGCCATATATTTGCCTTGGGGGTAGGTAGCATGAAAATTAATTCCCCCCCCCCCCCTCCCTCCTTTCATCTGATTCCCCCTACTCTTCTTCTCCACCAATAAGAATAAAGCGATGAAAGGAAAGGTTTCCATAATTTAAAGAATTATTTTACGCATCAGACAGAAAGTAAACTGTAAAGGTTATGCGTAGTTCTGCGTAAACTCTAGCGGCGCAATTAAGGAAAATTCTAGAATGAGACGAAATGAGAGGCATATACAAGGGGGGGGGGGGGGGGGGGGCTTACTAGGCCACTGGATCAATGAAATCCATAGTTTCCAGGGGGTTGTCACCCCCCTCCCTGGAAATTCCCCCCTTGAAAAATTCATGGATACGCCCCTGGACGAACCACATATTGACGTATTTACAATAATTGAGAAAAGCAACGAATATCAAAGGAATTGAGTCTTTGCCACAAACTTTTTTTAAATCTATATTTTTGCAATCCAATATTTCAAATTATGAATTCTTTCATATCAAACAATCTAAGTTTGAAATATCAAAAGTTTAAATCAATAGGTTTCAAAGATATAGGAATTTGAAATTTTAAGTTTGTGACAAAGACTAAAAACTAAAGGGGCAAGGTAAAATATGAAGTGTAGATAAAAAAATGAAAAATGGATGTGGGGGGGGGGTTGGACAACACGCCCCAGCGACCCCAGTAATTTACCTTATCTTTACTCAAAAATAAACAAACATACATTTTTAGAGAAAACACACAGAAAGTTACATTGATAAATACAAAATGAAAATTAGAGCTTGGAACTTACAGAAGTTAAGATTAAAGATATTACGTCATATCTTTTATTTAAATTGTAAACATGTTAATTCTTTTTGTTTACATTTTAAAACAAAGAAGAAAAAAATTTTGCGGATTTAAAAAAAAAATTCGCGGATTTTCAAGAATTTAAATATGTTTACAAAATTAAAAACCTTTAAAACAAATTTTTTAAAATTTTTGTCATTCATAAACCTTCCCTGAGGTAACGTGATGTCCCACAAAAAATTTGGGCCCGATCGGTTCAGCCGTTTTGACGTTGGATACAAACAAACAAACAGACAAACAGACAGACAAGCCAAATTTATATATAGATATGTATTTATTCCTACTGATGATGAAGCATTTTGTCTTGGAAAAAATATATATCTAAACATCTAAAATGTATATTTCAACTTCACATTTATATTTGACAAAGAAATCAACTATACATTATGTTTCATGCTTTGCCAGCAATCTTCGGTAGTATATCTTTGTTCAACTAAATCTATATATTAAATAAGACATTCGTATATATATATATATATATATATATGTTGCCTATAGCCGGCCAAACGGCTGTACCGAATGGGCTGAAACTTTTTGTGGACACTCATGGGTGGCCGGGGGGTGTTATAGGCTAAAAAAACATCAAAATATTTTATTTCTCAACATTTCTTTTTTAAAAAAATTTTCCACGGGCAACGCCGGTCACTTCAGCTAGTTAAATAACTATATATAATTATGTATTTTCTTATATATTGACAAACTTTAATTGAAACAGACATCTTAATAAAAAATTGTAAATGTACAATTTGTAAAATCTTAACTGACAACCTTCAATCCTATTTGACCAATTTATTAAATGAAAAAATGTGAACCAACTAACAGTTAATCACTGAAATCAACAAACCGAACTTTAAAATAAAATGACAATTTGTTGTCCAACAAACAACCTTACAAAACAACATCGTAGAACAACTGACAATCAGATATATAAGCTACCAATAAATACATCAAAGGCAATCTGTTATAATTCAAATTGGCCCCAAATTAATAATCTGTTAAAAAACAAACTTTCAATTTTATAATATATTAAATTAATAACAAGAAAATAAGTTACTGAAAACCAAATACAGTAACTAACAACCAAATAAATTAACTAACAACCAAATAAAGTAACTAACAACCAAATAAATTAACTAACAACCAAATAAAGTAGCTGACAACAAAATAAATTAACTTACAACCAAATAAAGTAACTAAAAACCAATTAAATTAACTAACAACCAAATGAAGTAGCTGACAACCAAATACATTAACTAACAACCAAATAAAGTAACTAACAACCAAATAAATTAACTAACAACCAAATAAAAAAGCTGACAACCAAATAAATTAACTAACAACCAAATAAAGTAACTAACAGCCAAACAAATAACTAACAACCAAATAAATTAACTAACAACCAAATAAATTGACTGACAACCAAATAAATTAACTGACAACCAAATAAAGTAACTGACAACCAAATAAATCAACTGACAACCAAATAAATTAACTGATAACTAAATAAATTAACTGACAACCAAATAAGTAACTGACAACAAATAAATTAACTAAAAACTAAATAAATTACCTGACAACAAAATAAAGTAGCTTACCAACAAATAAATTAATTGACAACTAAATAAAGTGACTGACAAGCAAAAAATTAACTGACAACCAAATAAAGTAACTGAGAACCTAATGAAGTACTTGGCATCCAAATAACGTAACTGACAACCAAGTAGTGTAACTGACTAAAAACCAATTAAATTAACTAACAACCAAATGAAGTAGCTGACAACCAAATACATTAACTAACAACCAAATAAAGTAACTAACAACCAAATAAATTAACTAACAACCAAATAAAAAAGCTGACAACCAAATAAATTAACTAACAACCAAATAAAGTAACTAACAGCCAAACAAATAACTAACAACCAAATAAATTAACTAACAACCAAATAAATTGACTGACAACCAAATAAATTAACTGACAACCAAATAAAGTAACTGACAACCAAATAAATCAACTGACAACCAAATAAATTAACTGATAACTAAATAAATTAACTGACAACCAAATAAGTAACTGACAACAAATAAATTAACTAAAAACTAAATAAATTACCTGACAACAAAATAAAGTAGCTTACCAACAAATAAATTAATTGACAACTAAATAAAGTGACTGACAAGCAAAAAATTAACTGACAACCAAATAAAGTAACTGAGAACCTAATGAAGTACTTGGCATCCAAATAACGTAACTGACAACCAAGTAGTGTAACTGACAACAAAATGAAGGAACTGGCAACCAAAAAATTAACTTACCACCAAAAAAAGTAACTCACAACCACATAGAGCAACTGACAACCAAATTGGTTAACTGACAGCCAAAATAATTAACTGACAACCAAATAAATCATCTGACAACCAAATAAATTAACTGAAAACCAAAATAAATTACTGACAACCAGATAAATTAACTGACAACCAAATAAAGTAACTGACAACCAAATAAAGTAACTGACAACCAAATAAATCAACTCACAACCAGAAAAATTAACTGACAACCAAATAAATCAACTGACAACCAAATAAATCAACTGACAACCAAATAAATCAACTAACAACCAAAAAAATTAACTGACAACCAAAGTAAGTTACTGACAACCAAATAAATTAACTGATAACCAAATGATTTACCATTTAACCAAAAAAGTCACTGAAAACCAAATAAAGTAACTGACAACCAAATAAAGTAACTAACAACCACATAGAGTAACTGCGTTCATAGAGAACGATTTTTGGACAACAATAAATTAATTAAAACGTTATAATATCCTGAGTCTTACCTAAAATAAGTTTTGTTTCTTCACTTCGAACAGTTCACTAGTTTTGTTGATCGAAATGTTCATCTATTATATTTTTAATAGATTAATAGTAATATTTAAGTATCACACACGTTTACGCAATAGATTAAAATGCCTGTTATCACCAAAGGTTTGATTTTATGGCCTGACAACCAGTTTTAATTATACATTCGGGGTTGTAACTGCCGGCTCACTTGATTTTCAACTGCTCAAATTCCTCAAAATAATTCTCGCTTATTTCCACAACGATTTTAACCGTCTACCCGGCATAAAGTGCCTGCAAGTTGCTTCTTCTCTAATATACAGTCAGGAACTGGTTCTAAAAGTAATCTATAAGCTGTATGGCCCCCTCCCCTCTTATCTGCGATCAATTAACATTATTATATGATATATTTCTCTAATTGAATTATAAATGATCGAATGTAATTGAAAAAAAAAAAAATTATGTAATTTATAATCATGAGTATTATAAGAACTGAGGGTTTTCATTCCCCGTTGGTAACTTTATTAAGCTAAATGATTTGACTGAATTTAATCAAGCAACACACGAAAAATCTTCTACCTTCCTCATTTAACAACACTTTTAAAAAAACTCGAAAATTTTGAAAATCAAATTGACATTTGAAATACAGGCTCATTAGAAGATCTTCCCTCATATGCACTTCTTAAGATATGGAATAAACTGCCACTTGATTTAAAAAGAAGTGCCTCGTTAGGTATCTTTAAAAAAAAGTTTATTTGAAATGTTATCTGACGCCTACATCTCAAAAAAATAAACCCTTTTGTTATTCTTGCAAAAAATGAATATAGAACTTTGTAGATTTTTGTACATGCACTCAATCTTATTCTGTTAAACGTACTAAACTGAAACTGAAAAATCAATTATTTTGTTATGCTGCACCTCGTTCTCTCTTTTAACTAGTAATCACTGACCTATTGTAAACTTTTAAAACCTAGTAATATTCATCATATTGTTAACGTTTTAATATTAATTAGGTGGGGATAATACCCAAAACAGCAAATAGCTAATCTCCGCCTAATTGCTATAATTACATAAATATACTAAATATTATAAAAATAGTTGCAGATTTTTTGCCTGTAACATTATAACTTGTATATTAGTATTTTTAGCAATAAACCATATCTTGTATTATTTTTTTTAATTCTCCCTGGAAATTACAGTTTTTAATTGCCCAGGGGGAGGGGCATTTAGCCCCAATCAGCTGACCATAACTTTAAAATATTATATTTTGAGCCACGTCATGTTGTTTATAATGGTTTTAACTATTTTATCCTGTTTGTTTTGTTTACAGAAGAACATTTTTTGAAAACAATTCATGCAAATCTTAGTTTCACAAACCATCAAGAAAATCAAAACCAATTGTTATGTTCCCTACTTTAAAAATGTCAATTTTTGGTTGTAGATCCTAAAAGTCCCACCTAAATTTTTCATATTAGGAGTAAAATAAGAAAACATCATTTCCGGACGAAATATAGAAATGGTCCGAACAAATAATAGGTGTGGTACACACAATTTTTTTTTTGCTAAATTGGGCTTAAATATCTTTGAATTTTTTAGTCAAATTGCATTTAAGATACAATTAAACCATATTGAATAACATAACTTTGCCTAAATAAAAAAAACGCTAAAAAGCATTAAATAATACATCTGAAAAAACAGAAGCATCGCTCAGATGAAAAAAAGGTGTGGCCGGAAGAAATAATGGTGAGTTGTGACATCATTTGTGGTGCGTAATAAAAAATTGTGTGGTGTCCCCCGCTCGTATTGTGTATAGTATATGTTATGTCTGAACAGCCATAGTAAATCGAAATGGTTTGTTGTTCTTTCTCATATGAAGATATACATACATAAAATGTAGTATATATGTTCCTGTGTGTATCATAAAATTCAATTATTTAAATTTTGCAGAAACTTATTGCCTCAGTTTCAATATTTTGTCCAGACAGTTTAAAATCTGTGAACGTGAGTAATTATTATCAATATCCGATATTGTAATATTTAAACTAAAAACTAAATTATGAATATTTTCCATGTGCGGCCATTACAAAACATCAAGTTCAGGGAAAACTGAATTTTCACCGTAACATTATGTTCAAGCCTAAATTACTAGTGTTGTTGACAAATTAGAAAATTTTCTGCTTAACAAAAAATTCAAGCTAAAATTACTCGATATTATACCAAAATTCTGAAAATGCCTCCCCCCACCTTGTTCACAATGTTTCACTCGGTGCTCCCATGGGTCCATACTGCAATACCCTTCTTCGCAACCCCCTTGGGAAAATCCGGCTTGAATGAAACCACTATAAAAACAATATATTTACAGGGCGTGAATAAAAGGAAGCTTTAGATGCACTCCCACTCCTGGACTAGCATAACGGCTATGGTGCACAGGGGGTTTTATTTAGCCCCCCCCCCTCTCTTTTAAAAAATTAGCAGGAAGGTTTTACTTATAATCAACATCAAACTAGGTCAAAATGACCAACACTTCATATTAATATAAAACAGGGCGTATGTATGTTAGGTAAGCATCCAACCCTCAGCACTTAAAAAAAAAAATGATACACGACAGATGACCGTTTAGACATGCAGTCTACCCTCAAATAATGAGATTTCAGAGACGACTGTACGGAATTCATTCAGTCTTTTTTTCTAACACTCATCTGGTTCAAGCTGTAACATATCCAATTAAATTAATACACCATTAGAAGAATTTATTGAAAGCAAATCTCCAAAATTAAACCCTCAAATCGTTGTATCTTTATTTGTGGGTAACCCTGTATTAGGAGGTAGTTATCTGCATAGTATTGAGCACTTCAGGATTTACATAAATAGGAGGCAACAGCGCTCAATTCCTTATGAATTAAAACCCATATTAAAAGGACTAGGAGTGCTAACAAACTGAAAAATTTTCATTTAAAATGTGTAGTGTTTAATCTTTGTGAAGGGGGGTTGATAAGAAATAACTGTAGGGGGAGGGTTTAAAAAAAAAGAGGAGGGGGAGGGTGGAAAGTAAAAACCCTCATCCCCCCTCAGAGTTCCTAACGCTCTCAAAACATAAAATTAAAGGAACTGAGTTGTTGCCACAAACTTAAATATTCTTATCCCTATATCTTGGCAACCCAATTTCGTAGACCTTAAATATTACAAACTATTAATTCTGTTAGATCAAATAATCTAAGCTTGAAATATCAAAGATTTATACCCACTAGTTGAGGTTGTGGCAAAAACTCAATTCCTTTGCATGATTTAAGATGGTTCCAATATACATAGGAATTCATTGACGACTTCAAAATCATCTTTAAACAATATTCCACAGTTTCCACTGAAAACAATATTAACAATATTATACTTTAAAAACTTTAAGTTTTGATATTTCTAGAATATTGTCGGCCATTATCTTCATAACAAAGAGAGATACCAAAAGTGAGGGTCTAGATTTCAATTCATGGCGGTAACAATAAATATTTTTATGATTAAATATTTCTTTAATATCTTCGTCAATTACTATATCTTTGCAACCCAATTGTTTAAATCTTTGGTGTTTCAAACGTTGGGTTGCAAAGTTTTAGTGATTAAAAAATTAGAGTTTGTGGCAAATAGTCTATTGAAACAAGTTCTAAGCTTTGCATTAGATTTCTTTCTAATTTATGTAAAAATGACCTTAACACAGAAATTTATTTTCTATTGCAAATGATTGTTCTGTAAATCCTTCCGATCTTAGAAAAATTTTAGTTAAGAAACAAATGAAATATTTTGATGTCCCATTGGAACATGCAAGGAAAGTTCCGGTTTTACAAGAACTTTTAAATACAAAAATGAATAATTTATATGTTGAAGGATTCGATGATTACGTAAAAACTGAAATGATAAGTATGTTATGTAATGAGTAACGATCAATGTCGTCTATTTATGCATAATTTTGCATATTTTTCTCTTTTCTTTTGGAAACCTGTATTTAAAAAAAAAATATTTAGACAAATTTAAACTACACCATTTATATATGTATTTATATCTTTGTGTGTGAATAAATCTTTATAATAATAATGATAATTCCTTTTCAGTCACCTCTAAATATAATGTGTATAATTGTACAGTGTACAATTATTTACAAAGGTTGTGTTGATTCTATGTTTGCCTTAAGTTAAGGAAACTGTTAATAAATATTAAATTCTTCAATGATTTATCTTAAAGAGAGACAATGAAGGAAATTGTCAGGCCAAAACATGTTAAATAGAATCGATGAACTCAGATCGTGTTTGGGAATAGAAATATTTTTTCCCCACGAAAACTAACTAAAGTTTTGTCTAATAATTTTGGGAATATTGGTGGGCAAACTTTTGTCATATTGAACAAAATATCTTATTTTTCAAGCTTTATATCAAAATATTGAGATTTAATGGTCTGTAGATTGGTGCGAAAAATTTTTAGAAAGGGGGCTAGCTAGGTAAACCTCATTATTGCGAATTAAAAAAAATTAAAAAATATTCAAAAAAGGGAAAAAGTGAATTTATATATTCTGAAATATCTATGATTCTATCCCTGACTCACGGGGTTTTCCGGAACCTATTCCGGTCTATCTGTTACGAAGGTGGGGACTGGGGGGAGGAAGTGGAAGTAAGGATGATGGCTAGGGGAGGGGTAGCTTGGGGGAGGCCAGCAACGGGGGACATTAAAACTACGCAATATTAGTATCTGAGCGAAAGTAGTATTTTCCAGATGGCTCTAAATACCACACAGGGGTACAAGCGGAGCTATCAACAAGCTATATTATATATCCCACCTGTTAATCTAGCTATCATGTGCCGGGGAAATTTAATGTGGCCAACCCGAAAATATCTTTTTGAGTCTATAGTTAAAGTGGGTTGAGGAGGCCTATCTAAAATTCCCGGGCACTTGTATTTATTTGAAATATTAATTTTGGATCTACCTTGTAACTCTATTTAATATGAGTGGAGAAGAGTTAAACGTCTTTATTTATATTTATTGAAAGTTTAGAATGGAGATACGAGACTCGCTTGGCTTTGGGATCGAGGCAATAGCCAACTACTTCATCTGTGTGCGGGTTACTATAGACTTTTTTGCTGGTTTCATTCTATGCTCGGACTGAACGCATTTCTCCGTCTTTGCGTAGAGTTGACGGACAGTTTATGAATACTATAACAACACTAAATATCACTTTTAATTTGAACCATATTTTTAATGTATAGGATCCATCTGTGCAACATGAAGAGTAAAAATAAATAAATCTCAATAAAGTTAAATTATTTGAATTATTGTTAATATTTGCTTTGAACC